TGTAAAATGGAATGTGAAAATGAATAAAATACATTGGGAAAAAAAAAAAAAGGAAATGAGAAATGACTCAGAATTCCCTGAAACAAAAAAGTAGCCACCTATTTATCTGTATAAAAATATGTTTATGGCTTGATTTTATACCACACTTACTCACAAACATGTCACATTGATCTAAATGGCATTTAATTATTTTTAGGTAAATATATCTGGATGTGTCCTTTTGGCATTTAATCTTAGTGATTCATAAAATACTGATAATTTAGAGAATAATATAGGATTTTAATATTTCCATCTGTGAAAAGTTTACCAGCAATGTTCAGAAGGGAGGAATGACAAGTATGGTGCAATGTTTATATTTGTTGAATCTTTGTACACTGCATGAAGATTGCACCGATGTTTAACTTTAAATCTTCTTCCATACAATATTTAACTGCAGGAAGTTTTCCTTTTATTTACATTCATTCAGTCTGGTCTTGATCAGAAGTTCAAATCAATAGCATTATTTTCCCCCCATCAAATTACATTGTCATTGTGTATTTGTAACTTGTTTGGGAGTTCCTAATCTGTATATATACAGCTACTAAGACTGGGTCAGTTTTATATGTCTGTCTGTTGTTTGCAAACTCAGGAGAGACAGTATCTTGTGAGCACTGGATCTGCAGTTGGAAGTTATGTATTTCTTATAAATATTTAAATCAGGCCTCTTTTTTCAGCTTGTTCACTAGATCCAATTAAGGCCAGTCCCCCGGAGACACATGGAGGATGTGTGCCTGTGTGTGTCCGTGCATGTGCAGGCTGCCTAAATGAAATGAAAAATAAAGGAGAAAAGCAATTCAGTATCTGTCTGATTTTTAAAAGCCCATGGGAAGGAACTGACACTTTTCTATGGCCATTTTTTCCACTTCTTCTCCTTTCCAAAAAAATTNGAGGCCTACCCTGTGCGATCTGATGGGACGCAGGGAGGGAATTGGCAGAAGGCGGTCTCTCAAATAGCCAGAAATCCACTACCATGGAGCGCTTTGTGAGTGAGTATTATTGTTATATCCTAAAGAATAAATGAGAAAGAAAGTGTTTCCTTTAGAAGATGTAAAAGAATGAAAAAGACAATATTTCTTTTGTAAAATAAATAGGTTATGAGAAAAAAGGAGGCTACATTCTTCTCACTGCAGTGTCCATCATCACTAGGGCTGCAGGAGAGGGAAGAGGCATGTCTAGTCTGCAGGAACTCTTAACTCACTGACAAGATGCTTCATCTGGACCAAAGGCAGAGTGGGATTTCCTTTCTGCCACATTTGAATTCCCCCTTGGTGGCAGGGAATGCATTGGAGAGAGCTTCACTGCTCTACTGCCTCTGCACAGAGCAGGTCAATGATGCACTTCTGTGCAGCATCCCCATTAAGAGGTGGAGAGGGATGATCAAGTAAGCAGAAGTTCACTATGAAACAATTTTACCAGCAATGTTCACAATGATTCACCTCATGTGTTGGGCGCATCATAGGCAAATAAACTAGGCACCTTGTTCCTATAGATATTGAGTGCGTAAGCATATTGGGCAGCTTGTTTTCTTTATGACCCTTTGCTCTGCTGCTGATTTAATCAACCAGGTAATTGCTGGCCTGTAATTAAGAAAGATAACCAGTGTCTCCCTGAATGTGGAATATGCCTCTGCATGTTTAATGGAGGCAATTATGAGACCTTAAATGAAAAACTCGGGACTTGTTCTTTGTAAGGCAGTTCTAAATTTCAATTAGTGGGGTGAATGATTTAAAGTAATCCAAGTTTATTTACAGTTCAAGACCAAGCATAAGAAAAAAGACCAGTGATACTATAAATATAGTAAATGGAAAATTAGGGGTAATTAATAGCCAATGATTAAATAGCATGATGAGAAACCAGACAATTTCCAGGAGCTCTACCAAGATAACCCTCTTGGAGATTTCTTCAGTAGCTTAGGAAATGGCCTTGAAAAATAGAAGAGCCATCATCAAAGAAAGCAAAGGTTAAAACAGTTCTACTTGGATTTGCAAGATTTTGTTTACTATAACTATTACAATAAAAGCAGTCCTGATCTCTATGAAATTGGTTTTTTTAGTCTGGTCTACATTGTAAAGATTCTGAATAGTCACTAAAAAGAGGAAGAATGATCACTTTGTCGCAATGGCAATTAAAGTTGCTACCAATTGGAAATACTAAGCTTTAATGCCATTTTAGTATACCACAGACAATTTAATAATTAAGAACACGTGAGACAGATTCTACTCCGTGTCTGAACAGAAACAAGTACAGTTTTTGTGTGGGAATCATATGTCTACAGTACAGTATTAATTGTTGGACTAATAAGTAACATCTCCATTCAGACTGGGATAACC